GGGAGTGCGGTGCGGGGGCGATGCGAGGGCGGGGTTGCGGGGTTAGGCGGCGGGGTACCCGGGGCTGGGCGGCGACGGGGGTCGTCCGGCGGTGGCATGGCCCCCGCGGCGGGGTACCCGGGGCTGGGCGGCGGCGAGGGTCGTCCTGCGGTGGCATGGCCCCCGCGGCGGGGGTCCGGGGTCCGCAGCCTAACACCGGCTTTGCCCCCGACGATCCCCGCTCGACAACGCTGGTTTTAGCCCATAACTCCAGCACAGCTCAACCGTCGCAAGCGCGGTACCCAGACTCCAGTGGGGGGTCGCCCTCACCTTCTTGCCCAGAATACCCCATCCCGACTTGCCGCTCGTGTACCCACCGTTAATCTCGGGAATCGCCCCGCACATCTCTGTAGGGCCATTGAAGCCAGCCGTCCAGGCATTCACTTTCATTGGTCCGATAAGGAACAACCTTTCTCAAACCAGGCTACGAGAAGCTACTGACCGCCTCCCAGGCTCCGTCTTTGCCCCCATGCAGTGGTGCTCCCTCCGCCAGTCCACAGGCTAGGCCCCGCTTGAGGAACGTTTCACACCCCGCCCGACGGATCAATCGAGCCGAAGTCCGTCACCGCGCGGACGAGAATGCTAATAAGCACTTGACGTGACAAACTCCCGTTAGACAGCTCGGTGGCCTGACCCCCGCATACGAACAAACAGCAGCCTGCAGGGAGAAGGGTGTTTGGCAATCCGAAGTGGCCGGTGCAGACCCCCCTTTTCCTTCCAAATGGCAGGACGCTCAAAATCCCAATCATGCAATCACAAGTCCCAAGTGGGACACACATAGAACAAGTGTCTTTCCCTTGGTGCACCCAGCGCTTCCTACCCATTGCTCACAATTTTTCTCTCGGGACAGTGCGTGCCACTCACCCCTAACATCCATACACAATGCCCGGTTCCTTCTCGTGAGCATCTTCAAAGGTGAGCTAGTTTTCCTTGGAGTCTAGCAACTCTCTTCATTCCCTTATCTTTGTTTGTGTGTCCGTTCATAGGACAGGATTGTTCCTTCTCGATTACCCTTTGTGTTCATATGAGGTTCCTTCAAACATTTAAGTGCGGTGCGCGGAGCCCGCTGGGCTTCGAAGAAAAGGAAAGAAAGCACCCGTGTCGGTCGGATCACTCCGCCGCGGGATTTTCATCGGAACTCGGATTAGCCCGGAATCCCAACCGCCTGCCAGGTAACCGGAGCCATTCTTTCATACGAAGAGGAAGGGTCGACCTGCGGCTTGCCCAAGGCTTCCCCGGCCTGACGAACATCAGTCCAAAGGAAGGAGGACTAGAGTCGTCTCCAAAGGAGATGGCTGATCAAAAAGTGCAGGCATGCATGTTCTCCCTCCAGGCCTGGCCTTGCCATGCGCCCAGCCACCCTCAAATCTGATTCTCTCAAGGGATAGAGCATACACAAGTCCATATTCCTTTATTTCATGTTTATGTTCACGGTCATGCGTCGGGCGCCCCCCTCGAGACCGTATGGGTCAATTTAACCCATACCCGCCACCTCCACCATTTTTGTAGGGGCCGTACCCTTTAGGACTTTCGACCCTCGGTCGACCCCACTGTGGGTCCCATTTGGCTCGACCCGCCCACGCTCACGCTCAGGGCGCGGGTCGTTCATCCCAGGGGCACCCCCACCTAGTGCTATGAGATGGATGGGGATGGGCCTTTTGCGAGAGGGCTTTACATTGGGGGATGTAGCTCCGTTCTCGCGTCAAGATGGTAACTTTTTGGGCACTCGTAGTGTTTTCTCGATTCAGTTAGGTTTGACCAGGCAATTGCTCCTTCCAATACGCAAGCAGTCCAGGGAGTTGATTGAAGTCTCATCTTCTTATCGTGCGCAGGCCAAGGGTCATCCATTGGGCCACGCACCTTTTCACTAAGCCTAGCGGCTCTGGGCAGCCCCGGCGGCATCCTTGCGGTAAGGCGGCGTCGACCGGACCCCTAACCGCTATATTTTTTTTGCGAGAGCCACTAGCATCGCATCACCTATCCAAGACCGCCCTTAGTCTTTCCAGGGGTCGCATTGCACAAGAGAAAGACATTCCATGCAACCTCCACACAAACCAAATCTATGCACCAACCATCCACCCAAGCGTCCGACCTCAACTCATCCCGCATCCATGGCGTAAGCCGGATCCAAGTCCTTTCCTTAGCCAATCTCCCACCCTAGTCCCCATCCGCGGGTCCAGCCCTGTCCAAATCGTCCCTAGCTACTCACCTGCGCAAGACCACACAAGACAAATGACCAAGTACAATCCCCATTGGGGTCAACACATCGCCCCTTCCCGCAATCCTAAGTTGCCTTTGCCTTCCAATTTCCCTTATGAGTTCCCTTCCCTTTCACACAGGCAAGCCATGCGATCGCCTCAGTCATGCATTCCGGGAGGATGGTTGAGTCAAACTAACATCGTCCAAAATCAGCACTCCTCTTCGCTTTCGCAAATGCTCTCAATAGTCTCGTATCCTTTCCTTCTTGGTGGCACAAGGGACCGACAGCCCTTCCCTTACCCTCGCTTTCCACCAAGTGAGGACTAAGTTCCTTTCCGTTCGTTCCCTGGCAATGTAACAGGTGAGGGTAGAGGTTAGTCACATGTCATGGAGGGGGAAGGGGTGACGGAAGGGTTAGGGGTTAAAGAGTTTTGAAGGAATGAAGGAAGACGGAGAGAGAGAGAGAGAGAGAGAGAGAGAGAGAGAGAGAGAGAGAGAGAGAGACAAGAAGTTTCTCATCCTAATCGACCTCGCTCATTGACTTACCCTAACCGATCCTATCCGAGGTCTCGTGCATCCCCCTTGCGGCCCCTATGCCCCTCAAGTGGATTGGGGGGGGTGATAGGCGA